TTTGAAGGTCAGCTACTGTTTACTGCTAAAAGCAAGATTACAAGTGTAAGGCTTGGAATGCATGTTTTTATCTTCTAAGAAACTACAACTTTTTGTTACTTCATAATCTGAGGAGTCCTCCTCTTAGGAACTTCACATCAGAAAAGCCATTCTGTCTGCAGGTTTTATTGGGTTATTGATTGATTATCAGGCAGTCAAAGGCCAAATTCAAACATACTGCAAGTTGTTTAATAATCAATAAACGTAAGAGGAAGGGAATGCATATTCATATGAAGTTCAGCCCATTGTGCTTTCTCATATGCATATAACTTGAACGTAATTTTATATTATTCTGATTGTACTTAGATTTATAGAAATGAAAGTGTGTGCTTTTTGCTGAAGGATATGGGGATAGTGAGTGAAATACCAGGACCTAGAAAAATCTTTCAGGTAACAGCAGTGTAAGGAAGAATACTTGCTGTAAAGTGTACCCTTTGTCTTTCAGTTTCTGCAGACTTAGCTCAAAAATGGTCCCTCACTCTCTTTATAAAAATAAAAATATCCAGTATAGAATTTACTTATTAATACTTGTACCCCATTTGTAATAAGTTCTTTTGTGCACTTATACAGACTACATTTTGACTACAGTTTTTTTGGTCAATGTATATATATTTTGTCATTAACACTGGAACTGTATCTGTTTAAGCTGTATATTTATGTATTTTGAACATAGAGATCAGCGTGACTTTGCCCATTTTCGTTCTTTGAATTCTTTCTTAGGAAGCCAAATATAACATAAATACACAATAACCTCATATTTGAAGGGAAGTATACTAGCAAAGTGGAAGGAAAGAAATTCAGAAACATAGCTTCCTTTAGTAGAAAACCATTCTTCCCAGTATTGCACTATTCAGCCTTCCTCTGAACAAAGCTACTTCCAACTATCTGCAATTCCTGCATATAAATCACAGATTCTTGGAATGTTCTTTAAACAGATTTTAAACTGTTACAAAATGAAATTTAACATCCTTTGTGGTCATATCAGAAATCTCTGATTGAATGACCAGACCTCTTGATTTCCAGTCTTCCTTCTCTGTCAGTCTGGGCAGAGTGGTTTTTGCTATTTTTTTTTTTTTTTTTGGTCTACCTGCTGTTCCTGATTATGAATGTCATCTCAGCAGTTTCCAGCTGTGTTATTACAAATCGACACACCCAATGCCTGTATTCCTTTATGGTCTCACTGAAATGAGATCCTCACAAGGCATTAGTTTGTTTGAAGTGTTCGGACCTTACAATTTTTCCATCGACTACAGTTGTGTGCTACGCCAGCCTCAGATCCTGAACATACAACATTTCTACATCCTTGTGCAATTCTTCATCTTAAGTCTATGTTTTGCTAGTATAGTACTTCTTTCATCATCCAAAAAGTGTAATTCCTTAGTTCCTGATTTCCTAGTCTGATGTGCATACAGCGAGACCCCTTGATGTAGCAAGTCTATGCTGTTTTTCTTATCTCTTTATTAGGGATTCTAATGTGTGTGAATCCATTGCAAACAATTTAAATAGCTTATACAGCTATTGTATATGACACATAGGGAAAATAGCAGATGATATATAAATTGCCATCGGTTCTATGACTGTTAAAAGCCATTCTTCTCTTGCATTTAATCAGTTAAATTTGTATTAATTGAATTCCTGTCTTATTCTACTCCTTCCATCAGTCAGGTCAAGAACTTTGCATTCTCTATGATGGAGTTAGCTTATATTGGATTTGAGAAGTAACTTCTAAATGGCTCTTATAATAGATTGCAGAGGCTGTGAGAACAAGCAGTCAAATTCTTGATTATCTGTTCTGCCAGAGAAGAATAGCAATGAATCAAAACTATGGCCGTTTTCTCAGGCAAGAATTAAGTGTTATTCCAAGGAGCTTTTTAATGCTGTTTTCCCCAGTAGTCATAAGTAAAGCAACTTCTAAGCAGACAGCCTACCCCTTTTAAACTGAAATATGATGCTCCGGGGTGCTGGTAAAAGAAAATACTGTTTCTGGTTCAAGTCACGTGTAACAGATCATGGCTGTTAAAACCCTTTGTTGGTGGAATGAATCAGTATTGACCGCTTGGTTTCTGCTGTGGGTCAGCTGGAGCATTAGCTTGTCACTTAATTGGAAACTTGTGAGGGGCTTCTCCATGATGGTGTTTGGTGGTAGAAGAGGAAAGCCTGGGAGTAAGATTAATGATAAACTATTCTTGCTGGTAAAAGAAAATGCTGTTTTCTGTAAAAATTCTGGCTAGTTCATGCCCAGTTCTGATTATTGCTTGTGAATAATATGATGAGTTAATTTCTAAAGGGATAAGGAGTTCCTACAGTAGCACACTGATGGCTAACAAATAAATTCGAAGCAGGATGCTACTGTGAAATTCATACAGTAAGTAATAAAAAAGATGGATGTGAGGGTATGTATGAATGCTGTAAATGTAATAAAAAAAAACTTTAGATTTTGTGATCAATGCATATCAGTATCTTGAGTCAAAACTGGTTTACTGATGCTGTTTTTTTTTACTGATGTTGCTCAGATTAATGTAGAACTTTCTCAAAATTCTACTCTCACTGAAATAGCAGTTTGTAGTATTTTGTATTATTTTTCAGTGGCTTTAATAGATGATCATAAAAGAAATCAGAGGATAAAGGTGCCTTTTCTCACTCAAGTGCTAGACCTGAGTCCGTGTGGGTTTGCAAATTGTCAGTAAGGATTCTACAACTAGGCCATAGTTTGCAATGCTGTTTGAGACATGTGGTTTAAAAAGAAATAAAAAATTGATCTTGTTTCCTCTTAGCTATGTGAATTCTACAGAGGACTGAGACATCATATAAAGCTGGGGGGGGGTTCTTTGTGAGGAAAGTAAACAGCTGAGAGGAAATACATACTGAAGAGGTTTGTTAAATAGAGGTGCCATTTTGCGTTGTAGTTCTCCTGGCTATAACTGCACTTTACGTTTTTATTATGTCTTGGATCTTTGGAGCTGAATTTTATAAGTCAGGTTGAGAACAACTGGGTCAGTCACCCATTACTCATTCAATTACACACTGCAGCCCTGCTGCTCCCAGCTGACATCTGTACACAAGGCATGGCTCTTTTCTACATAACTTGTCCAGCTCCAATGCTACTTGTGCAGATGCTAAGTCCCTGGGAACTCCACAGTCTAAGAAGAGAAATAGTGTAAGAGTTTATTCCCCCTGGAGTGCCCAGGGGCAGGCAGGAAGCTGCTAATGGCATAATTTTGCATGTAATATTTTGTATTTTGCCCATATATCGCTGTAGAAGAGGTTGCTTAGGGAGAAATTTGAGAATGCCATTTGGGAAATGTTGTTAAATCACTTTTGTGGAGGTAGCCAGTGTATTTCTGTTTGCTACTTTACACAGGCAATAGCTTACATTGTCATAAACTGTTTCTGAGTGGTCTGCTTCATGCGGAGCTGGGAGGGATCCTGGTGTGCTGTGGTGTTAATGAGGTGCTTGACCTTGCTGTTCTGTGGGCTGAAGTTGTGCGCTTTGCAAAGGAGGGTGTTAGAGAAAGCAATACAAATAGGTTCATCATTAACTCAATTAGATGATAATTGCGCAGCTGGATTCCGCCTCTGAGTCCATCTCTCTTTCTATGCGAAGTGGGGCAGAGTGTTTCAGCCAGGCTCTGTGGATGCTCAGTAGCTGAATGCAAGTCCAACTGCACGTTTGCTGGAGTTTGGGCTGAGTGCTAACTTTTGAAGCTGAGCCCAATAAGTGCTGTGCTTAGGAAATGAGAACCAACAAGTTATAGAAAAACTGAAATGCATGCAAGTAGGCAGCAGGGCTCACGTGTGTCTCAAAGTGAGCACTCAGTGTTAATGCTTGTTCTGATTAACAATGTCTTTGTGTTTCTCTCATCTGTTAAATGAACACGAAGGTGCCTTATCTTGCAAGGGTGTCACTAGAATAAATCCAATCATTTTTTTTTTCTGAAATGTTTGGGTACTTCAGTGATGAACATTAATGAAAAGCTCAGAAATATGTGAAAGTTCCTTTATTCAGAAAGAATATCACTCTTAGGTTGTAAAGGACAATTTTTATAATGCACTTAAAAGGAAGAATTGAAATATTGCTGAAGGGGGAGCAGTGTATGTGAATTGAGTGGTCTTATGGAAAAGAAAATAGTGTCTGACAATAACTGAATGTTGTATAAAAATGTACACCTACAAAATAGGAGGGAGGGAATTATTGCAGTAGCGAAAAGTGTCTATACTCACTCCTGATGTTTTATTGGCCTAGTATTTGAACTTTGTTAAAAATGTAACTAGTGCCCTTGGTGCTTGTAAATAAATTCCCAAAGTTATGTCAACAAAATCCTAGTGTTAAACTTTGTATATGGAAGAAAACCTTGAGTTTGTCTTCACTGTGTGGATTATGTCTCAAAATCTGAATTTCGAATCAATTTTATACAAGTATTTTGCAGATTTTTATTAAACAATGGAAGATGAGTAGCAGTATTTCGTATAAAATCAGCACGAGAACAAATGACTGCATTTGAATTTTCACTGGCAAACTAACTTCTAAGAGGATAGTTGACTGCAAACTGTATTAGAAGTATTAGAATTGCCTTTCTTGTTAGGTCTTTTCTTGGTAGCTTAACAAGGCACCAGTTCTAGACCCTGCTTTGACCTCACATAGAACAGTTACACAAGTGGTCATAATTGTGTTTTAGATGCTGAAATGTGTTTATTGTACAACTCATTAACGAAGACCTGTACTCTATAAATTGTTTTGCAAATTAAGGGAGTTAATGGATAGAAGTTGGGTAGAAAAAATCTCAGTTAACCACCAACAATGTTGAAACCAGATTTACGGATTTTATTTGTTTTTGGCTCCTTGTACTGTTGTGAGTCACACCTTAAAGCCTAAGTATTTCATTTCATATAAAAATGTGTCTTGTGTAGCAGACCATGATGAGCAGAGAAGGTCAACTTTATTTTATTTTAATCCTCTCTAGCCTTCAGGAAAAAGAGCAGTCGCTCAGCGTGTCCATTAAAGAAACTACTGCCAAAGTAAGTACCCATCAGCTATCAGTTATTCTTCAGAATATTTAGAGAATCGCCTAATACATTGCATTATAATTGTCTGTATTCTGTAAAGTTTGTTTTGTTGTGTTTCCTCTGAACAGATTTTACTGTTAAATATTTTTAAACATACACCCTAAAAAAAGATAATTACATTTTGACGGGCCACAGAGATTACGCTTAAGGAAGCAGATGGAATGATCTATTGTTTCTTGCCTTATGTTTACAAGTGATCAGTCTTGTTGCTGGCCTCAATTTAGGAACAGACTCCTTAGTGCTTCATGAAAAGAAAGTGAACTCCACTCACAGATGAATGTTTTCACGCTTTTGCCTCTTACTTCCTAGCTGTCAGATTTGGCTGGTGTGAAGAAAGAATAGAAACAAAGTTCCTCTTTCCCCTGTATTTCACTAATAATAAACTAGCAATCTTTTTAAAACTGCAAAGAAATGTAATGTTATTTGTCATATGTTGGTTTTTAATTGAAGGTGTTTAAACTTTCCTTTTAGTTTTTGTTTTTCTCATGGTCGTCTTTCCATGAAATACACTACTGTATTTTCCTTGTTATTGCAAAAGTGGCTCATTGCACACCATAGCTTCCTTGCTCTGAGTACTCTAGGAAGGTTTATTTATTTCTAACTCTTATAGAAATATATGGAGCATAAAGGGGAAAACATTTGTTATTCAATCATTAATTTTTCTGAAATACATTTTTTCTCTCGTGTTAGTTCTCTAATCTCTCAAAAATTAATGAAATATTTATCCTATGTACTCTATTTTTCATAATCATTTTCCCAACACTTTTAACATGCACTGTTAAAAAGACTAACTGCATCACTGCATCTGCATACTTCTCCTTCCCCTTCTCCTGCTTTGATTTATTTTTTTTTCCTCCTCTATTCCATGCATATGACTACCTCTTGGGGAATATTAATATAGATCATTATAATATGGCACTCCTCTCTGTATTTTTTTTAAATGACTCCAAATAAAGTGTTAGGAAAAGGATTATAATTTACCTATGGGACATCCACTGAAATGAATAAGAGATTTGGTAGCTCAAATTGGTGTGTCAAGCTATTGGCAAGTTAAAACATGTTATGCAGTTTGTCTTTTCTCCTAAAAATGTGTGCCTGTACATTTTGAAGGTTTTTTTAACCTGAAGTTAAATAAGAAGTTTAACCTGAAGTTTTGAATAAGAACTGAAACATTAGGTAGCAACTGAAAAGTGAACATGGCAGAATTCCACAACCTATTTTGTTTCTTTAAATATTCAGTAGGTAAAATATTACTTTAATTTCATTCCATTCTTGTGTGATGGCTTCTATTTATTAAAAACAGTAAATAGGAAGCAGGTAATCAGACTCCTCCAAATCACTTATTAAATTCAATTGTTCAAATCTCATCATATTTTCTTCTCAACCTTAACAGAGCTGCTCTTTTTAAACCTTTTCATTTTATGGGAAAAATATTACTTTGTGAAAGGCTTCTTCCTTCCCCCTGTACCACAAGTGTTTATGTGGCCTTTTCTGCCTCATCTGTGCTGTTTTCAGCTGGGGTTGCAGAAGGTAAGATCAGACTGTCAGGGAAGGCAGAATCCTTTATCTATAAATCCTTCATCTATATTCTTCCTGCAGACATTAATATCAGCTTTTACAAATGTGAAGATTGTGCTGTGTGAAGGTATCCAGGTGGACTCCTCTTTCTTTTCAGGTGGCATAAAGACAATTTCCACGTCTTTTCTAAAGCACTGTTGTAAAGAAATGTGAAAGCTACTCAAAATTCTTTTTCTTTTTTTCTTTGGGATGGTTAGAGGAAGAGTTAATTTCAGTGTTTTCGTCTATATCCTTGTTCCTGTTTCTGCCACTTGAGATTAACATCATATGCTGTCAAGACAGAAAGAATAAAAATGGGTAAATTTTGCTTCTTTTCAGATTGATTCCACGTAGCTTTTCTAAACAGCATTCCACATTTTTAATTACAACTATCTTCTGGAGTGCTGTTTATGTACCTAACCAAAGATCTGTAGGATTTATTCCAAAAAAAAGGGACACTTTTTTTTTTTTTTTAAGTTGACAGAAACTAAAACCAACCAACCAAACAACACTAAGGATTTTTAAGAGAAATACTTTAATATTAGACTGTAAAGAAGCTCCCATTTGGTTTTAGGGAAGTTTTTTGTAACTAGAGCTCCTTGGTCCAATTACTGAGTCCTCAAACATGAGTACGGGCTATCTGAATAGGAGCACAATGATAGCATGTTCACCTGGAGCAAAGGAGGATGTGAGCTTTGTGAATGCTCATCATTATTGTTAGCTAGGAAATAAATAAATGAACAATTTTTCCTCAGAGGCTGAAAAAGCTGCTGTAACAAATAATGGTAGTTGCTGTTAGGGTAAAATAATAATAATACAAAAAAAAAATTAAAGGAATTGGACCTCATAGATTAGAATTGATGTAAAATAGAAGCAGGGCTATTAGTTTAGAAGACGTTAAATTATTTGCCTCTTCCAGTCTTTCATTTAATTTTGTTGAACTATGCCATATGATAGCTCTGAAGATTAATGTTTTTCATTTATCTGCAGAATACATGTGATATAGATACACGCAGAGGCTCAGTAATGTATTTATCTCATGTTCCAGAAGAATTATCTCTGAGTTAGAGTATTCTTCTTTCAGCCTTTGGTCCCTGCATTTAGTCCATTAATAAAAAGTGCAAGCAAGCTTCATTCTGACAGTAATGCTTACAAAGTGCCCAGTGTTTACTAGAAACTGTTTAAACCTCCTCCCATCTTGTTTTGCATAATTGCCAAATGTCTGTTTAGTGGTAATGACTTTAAGTTACTACCAGCATGAGATGTATTCACACAGTTTTCCTAGAGCTGAAAGATTCCCAATCTAATTGCAATTCACTGAGCCATTCAGTACCCCTAAAGAGAGAACACTGCTTAGAAGGAAGTCATTAAAAACTTTAAGATTTGTTTTGGAGATGAGAGACAGACATGGCCTTGGGTTCTATGTGCACATTTATTCACCTCTGACAGTTTTGGGGTTATTTTAACATTTAAAGTAAATCAGTAGGCAGGTCACTGAGAAGGAAATGTTGAAATAAAGTGAAATACCTGGAAACTGAAAAATTATAATTAATGTAAAAGTGGCATGTGTTTTTAAATTAATAAGAAGATTCTGAATTGTTTACAGACTTGGATGATTAGATCTGTTCATTCAAAAACTCCATGATCCATCCCTAGTTAATGGATACTCTCAGCTAAAGTAAGAGGGTATTCACCATTTAGTAAGATTTACAATCAGTGCTGTATCTGAATTATTATCCTTCAGTTATGCAAACAGGTAAGCCATGAGAGCTGTAAGGCTCCTAAAAAGCAGAATAAGAGCTGTGCTTTTGTTAATATGCATGGAATATACACATGCTTTGAGAAAAAAATATCAGGAAGAGCTGAGAAACATTCCTCTGGAGATTTCATTTCACATCTCATCTCTTCACAACTGCCCTGTCTCTTTCTTGATTATTGCTTTACCCTTGGTTCCAATGAATGCAATGTTTTCTCAAGTGTCAGCTACAATTCTGAGCAACTGCTTGATTTCTGCCTTCAGAACAAGAGTATTGGCCTTAACTAGGTGAGGGATTTTTGTTCATTTTTCTGTTCTTCACAGTTGATGCGATATGGAGTAAAAATCAACGCTTTTGAATACATAGTGGTTATATTATTTGTGTACAGTGTTTGAAGTCATTCTGAGGTGACAGTGTACACTTCAAGTATACAAACAATCGAGCTACCTTTCTTCTCATCTTTCTCTCTCTCTCTCCATATTTCTAATACTAGCCATGATTCATTGCTGAAAGATGTCCAGGTTGTTTGGTTGGTTGGTTTGTTTGTTTTATATAGTCAAACCTGAACCCAATTCAGCTGTGTCTTCTGGTGGTGAAATGAAGTGTTGAGCTGTTATTGCCTTTTCAGGAGCATGGCAGCTACTTTTTTTCTTTTTCATTAAGATACGTGGCAACAAGTTCTGTTTGAAAGTTATTGTGTATTCCGAGTTACGAGGTCTTAAACTCCAAACATTGGTTCATTTACATTCTACTCATTCCAAGCATCACTGCTAATTTTGAAAATGTACAGAGTTCATTGGCTGGCCTATCTTCTAAATACAGCCTCAATGTCTAGTGGTAAAGCACGTCCTCTCCTATATGGATAGCCAATGTCACTACTCTTCTCTATTTTTTAAGAGAATGTGTGGTAAGCCTAGAAATTTTGATTCATCTTTGACACTTCTCTGAAGACATCACTTTTTATTAAGTTTCTTTGCCTTGCTGTAGGATGTTATGTCATGTCTATAAACCAAGAACATTTGAAGCTCCATTTAAATTGCCTTATATTTGTACATGAATGAATTATATATCATGCCTGTCTGCCTCAATCTAGGTTTGCACGAGTCAGAAGCTCTGCAGTACTTTAAGGAAGAAAGTGAATGATATTGAGACACAACTACCAGCTCTACTTGAGGCCAAAATGCTGGCTGTATCGGGTAAGTTTTAAATTCTAAGAAGGGCTGACGTTGATGAGTGACACATTAGATCTTTATATAGCTGAACCATCTTGGGAAAAGTCACTGATCTACGCTCATATAGATCCCTTAGAGTCTTGGTAAGCATGGTAGAACCAGGCTGTGTCATGCCTTGCTTAAGGTACTTCAGGCCTCTCTCCACAGATAGGAACTACTTGTTAAGAGATTACTGTGTGGTAGACAGTAAATATGCAAAGAACATGATGTTTTTCCATTTTCCATAAATGACATTGGTAAATAATAAAACTTTTTTTTTTTTTAATTACTTTATGATTCTTGGACTTTACAAGTTAAATACCTAGAGCTCTCAAGCTAAGGGTCATAATAAATTTATTACAAAGGTGCAATAATTACAAATATGGCTTTAAATGACCTTTTAAAATGAAATAAAATAATTGGCTACAACTACAATTCAGATCAGTAAACAACTAGTGTTCACAACGTAAAAGCCATTTGGTCATTGGAGCACTCATGCATGTTATTTACAACCAGTATAACGTTAAGATGTCATTACAGAGTCTGACTTGTGACACTTTTACGTGACAGTTATTTGGGACTAATGCACTTTTTACTAAGGAAAGAAAGCAAAGCACAGCTATTTCTCTACACTGAATTACTTTCTATTGAAACTTTGTGCAGTGTCACATAATTTGTTTGTGAGAAGTGGATAATGTCAAATTTCAGCAAAATCCAGAAGGAAACTCAAGTCGAGATCTTGTGACAGTAATGAATGTAGCCACTTTCTTTTGCTTTCGTGACACCTTTCAGAGTAGAAACCCTATTTTTTTTTCCTGTGTTCACCTACAAGGTAAGCTGACCAATCGCCCTTCTCTGCCCCTTAGACCATTTGAGCCATTTCATGATTTTCTTGGGAATACAGTAGCCCAAAAACTGAATCTGCAACTGCTCCTTCTTGCCAGCAAGAAGTGGTTGGCTGGAAAAGATGCTCTTCAGTTTGAGACTTTAAGGGAGCAAATAAATACTGGAGTACTATTTCCAAAACATTTGTGACGATATTTTGTACTTGTTAGCTCTTAAGAGAGGTTGATTGCTTCAGAGATGAATTCAAGAGTCAATTTAATGCTGATGCTTCTACAAAATGCTTTTTTACTACTGTGACCATAATACTGTGTCTTTGCAAGCTTTTTAAAAAATATTGGTACTATTTCTTTCTATGATAAGGAGCAATATTTCTTTTTTTCTTAATCTGAAAAACTCTTTATTCAGGGGAATTTTAATGACTAAGCATTACAATCTTAAATTGTTGTTAAGGTAAAATTCTTTAATTATCTTTCTGAGAATCTCAACAGGATTTGAGTGTTTTTTGCTATGTAAGTTCATACCCAGCATCTTCCATGACTGCGTTGAACAACTTTTGATATTGCCTTCCCATTCTGTCCAAAGTTTTTTATAGGAAACAATATCCACTAGTACCATGTTCTGAATTTGGTGCTACAAATTAAAACATATGAAGTCCATCTGAGTAAACAAATGCTATTTTACAATGTGAGTGATAGAACTAGGAGCCTTTTGGGATCTTCCACAACTGAAAAGCTCTGAGCACTATAACATAAACATATATTTTCATACGGTATAAATCTTTTTTTGACTACAGTATGTGTAAAAGTAAATCCAAAAAAAGTGTGAAGTCCAACTGTGTTCTGGTGTAGTAGATGATGGAAAGCAACAATGATACTGAGAAGAGAAGACTTTTTGTCGTTTGGTGGCTTATTTACAGTGAGGTTGCAGGTGGAGACTTTTTCAAGAACACCTGGAAATTGGTTCTCAATCCTAGGCTTGCTGATGAAGAAACTGTCTGGACTCATATGCAAGGATTAGTTTGTCTGAACTGTATGCGAGTGTAAAATAAGAGGCACATTTATGATCAAAACCAGTTTCAGATAATCCCCATCTTAAATAGTGTCTACTGACATCAATATGAGGGCTTTGACTTAATGTGTATTTATCAAGACTTAATTGTTGTCTCCAAATCTAATCTGGATAGCTTTCATTTCTAGGTTATGCTGGGAGGCACAATTGCATAGACGTGCTGTACATTGTACCACTGTTCTTGGGTTTCTCTCTTGGAAAAAAATGTGGGATTTCAATTACAGCTTTGTAGGATGACCATGACTTTAAGTCTGTAAGTGAGCTGCTTTTTAGAAATGCTTAGAAGTGTAAAGCAGGAGAATGATGAAGCAGGTTATGTGCCTTAGATGTGTGTGCATGAAGAGAATTTAAAAGAAAAAAGATGAACTTCTGGCATACCATCAAATGTGAATCAATACTGCAGAGATTTGGTAGAGGAAGCTGAGACGTGTAACTTCAGTTAGTTACAAATTATAGTGTATTGTGATAGGCAAGCAGAGGGAAAGATATTGCATTGTGTAATAAATAAATAAAAGCAAAAATGTGACTTCTGAAGCTGGGGCAAAGATGTAAAACAATGTAATTTAATGCCCCTATGTGAGAATACTCGAACAATGTCTTGTTACCATTGTATCAGAAACAGAAGGTGACTGGGGCTCTTCAGGTCCAACTAGTAGTAGAGTTGAAAGCCTGGAGTTAAAAATAATGGGTGCTTGTTCCTAACAGGTAAGTAATGCTAAAATGGGAAGAAAGCATCAAAGATGATTAAGCAAGGTAGTGAGTTGTGATGAAGATAACTTCTTTTGCAGGGGCAGGGAGGTAGGAAAAATGCGTACAAGTACAAGGGGAGCAAGTAATTTAGATCTCATTTTTGTAGCTGGAGGGAACTGGTCAGAAATCAAAGGTGAAAGGTAATTTTGTAACAGTGGCTGCTGCAATTTCTTTCACTTGTATTAAGAAATGGCTAATTATATTAGATGTAATGGCTCTCATTTTTGTTAAAGGCAGAATAGTATGTAATGTATAATGGAATGACAAAAGAAAAAAAAAAGTGCTCTGATGACTGGAAAGCTGAAAAGAGATTCTGAAGGAAAACAAACAAACAAAAAACCTAAAATAAAAACACTTTAGAGCACAAACTTCTAAAAATCAGAAAAGACAGGACGCAGGCAGTAGGAAAGAGGGTCAGGAAGAAATTATTTGGTAAATTCAGAAGAGGAAAGGGGAAGAAGGAGATAAAATAGCTGGTGTGGGTTTTTTTTTTGTTGTTGTTGTTTTTGTTGTTGTTGTTGTTGTTTTGCTTAAAAAGGCAAAAACAATGAGCAATGAATAATACAGAGAAAGCTGAAGTATTTAGGTCTTGTGTAGTCATGTGTCATGCATAAATGAATGGTATCTCTTAAGTAAGGCATAGTTAAGAAGTAAGTCTGAACCTTAAAAATACTGGCCATCATTTAAGCAAGATATCGTATGTAAATATCCCCTGAAATGGTGGTACTAAATCATGAGAAGTGAGAGAATCCTCAGTTGGGAAATACGCAGCTGTTTAAATCGTAGAATCATTAAGGTTTGAAAAGACCTCTAAGATCATCCAGTCCAACTGTCCACCTACCACCAATATTGCCCACTAAACCTTGTCCCTAAGTACTACATCTACCCTTTCCTTGAACACCTTCAGGGACAGTGACTCCACCACTTTCCTGGGCAGCCTGTTCCAAAATGCCTCACTGCTTTTTCTGTAAAGTATTTTTTTTCCTAATATCTGATCCTGAATCTTCCCTGACAACTAGAGGTTTCCCTCTCCCCTTATGGCTGTTACCTGAGAGAAGAGGCTGACCTCCATCTTGCTACAACCTTCTTGCAGGTCATTGTAGAGAGAATAGAGTCCCCCCGAGCCTTCTCTACTTCAGACTAAATGGGCAGCCTTGGAATAGTACAAAATGCAAAAGGAATTATTAATTGTGCAGTAACATTTAATTTTAGTGGACATACTTTTCCACTTACTCTTTAGTCTTGGAAACGTTAGGCAAGGATAAACATTATTTCTGTTTTTTTTTTTTTTTTTTTTTTTTTTTTTTACTGTGGCAACTAGATCACTCAGTGAGATAATTTCCTTAAACAACAATACTAACAATCTGAGAACAACTGTTTTCTTTTGAGCAGATGTTGCACTGTCTTCATTTAACACAGCATTTCCCCCCAGGAACAAGTTAGTGTTAAAGGTTTTTGGAGCAGTGTCAAAGCAAGAAAGTAACTGAATGCAATTGCATGCGATTGGGTTTGTGTATCCCCATAGTTAAGCTAGGTAAAATTAATGTTTTAATACTTATTTTCTTTTCAGAGCTTTCATATGTGTGATGATGTGATGGTTTGGAATGCATGATATACACCTCAGCATTAAATAACTGCCTGAATAGCTTTGGAAAGTACTTATGTTCTATATGTACTGCACTTTCTACTGCAGTTACAGTGATTTACAGTTTTTGTGTATGTATATTAGAATATATGCAAATAATATAGCTGGTCTTGTTCTGGTAAAAAAAAATACCAGCATAAATGCAATGTAAGCATAGCAATTCTGCCATTTTGTCAATCCAATACCTTTGGTTTTAAGACTGTGTAATAAAAGATTCTGTAAACCAGAATCAGATGACAGCAGAGATGATACCACGTATGTACAAGTTCTTCCTTGCTATTATTTCTTCTTTGAAAGAAGTGTAAAACTAAATTCAGAGGAGAAACAGAAAAGAATTAATGCTCAGATTTTTGAAGGCTGTAGAATAAATACAGCAGACTAATGGCATTATGATGAGATTTCATAAGGAAACAAACAAACAAACAAAATCCTTATTATTGAATGCTCAAGAGCTATTTCTATCAATAGTTAAAATTCAGGTTATCTATATATGCAGCTCTTTAAGTTCTGATTGGCATTTGCCTACTGTGATAGATAACTCTGAGTTAATACTCTTGAGATGCTAGTTAAGAATTTTTTCTCCAGACATAACTGATAGAATCTATTATATTGTTCACTGTTTTGAAGTTAGTAGCTTTAGCTAATTATAAGTAACAAATACTCTTCATTGCATGAG